CCCCCAACATCGTGTATGTGGCCAAAACATTGGCGGCAGTGTGTCCAAAATGAGCAACAGCAAAGAGTCTATTCATGTTGACGCAACACAAACATCATTTTGTGTGGCAGGCGTGGGAGAAAATACTTTCCAAGAGGAGGAAACGAGATATAAAATACTTTCCAAGAGGAGGAAACGAGATATTCATTTCGCTTGGCGGGTGTGGGACAAAATAGACATACAATCGTAATTACAAGGGGTCTTATGTTAGAAAAGTTGCGTAGAACCAGGGCGGCGGAGCCAACAACAATGAACAACATGGTGACATGCCTTTGTTCCTCCTTCCTCCCTTCCGGCCCTCTGATTGCAACCGGGCGGCTTGTTTTCAAAGCTCATCTTGGCCATCTGCATGCTCCTCAGCATGAGGAGTGGGTCTCAAGTCCTCAACCGTGTTTTTGTCCACGTCAGGTACCTCATCCCCAAAAATGATCCTTCCTGTTTTGCATTCCCCAAACATGCTCCTTCCTGGTTGGCCAACGCACACATGACAAACCAAGGCTCTTTGCAGGCCCATGTAGTTGCATGCATCCATTCACGAACTCCTCGAGGTCAATACACCCTTGTTGGTCAGAGTCGAGCAACATGAAGAGCGTCCTGCGAGAGTTCCGTCCCTCGAACAACTTGAAAGTATAGAATCCTGATGAATTACGACCGCCATTTCATAGCCGTTCATTTCTCACGGGGGGTCGCGCAGGCCTTTGTGTAGCTATTTGGGGCACGCTGAAATCACTATAGAACGCAAGGAAGCTGTTTGCATCAACGTATTTTCTTTACAGCTGCTGCTTGGCTTGCGGGAGGGGCACCACCACTGGACCACACATGTCCTTGAAGCAGACCGCAAACATAGTCTCTCAACGTAATTTTTTTACAGCTACTTGGGGAGACCTAGCTATATTTCTGGTGCCCTCTTTTGTCCTCCCCAAAGCCAGGCAGTGGTAGTATGTTCACTGGCTTGGCTTTGGGGGCTGAAAATCAAGAGAAATGGTCAAAGCATAGGAGTGGATTGAAGGATTGATCATTCACCGAGGTTCTCCTAGGCTACCGCGAGTTACCACAGTCTAAGAAGTCATGTTGGGGGTGCCCTTTTTAGCGTCCAAAGCCGAAGAAAAGGGCACCCCCTAGAACTGTGAATGTCCAAGGAATTGGAAGTGAGACAGCGAAGCAGAACGTGGGCAGTCCCTGGTCCGTCAGCCATTCTCCAACTCATACATAGCCACGACGAGCGACAGGCTGCTGTCCATATATAGATTAATACAAGTGATATCCTGGCCACTTTGTGATGCTATGGTGCACTACTCAACCTTTTTGGCATCACTCACATAACCAAGGCCCTTATGACCTATTGTTTTCGCTCTCCCCACCAGGCTCTGGGTTTACCCTACCCGCCAAGTACCAATTCCCGACCCCACACCCCCTAACACTCACTTTGTTCGCCCATCAAGCACTCTAGCCTAGCCTATCAGCTGGCTTTCGTAAATCTTACACTGATATGCCGCATGTAAAACGTGTGTAATGGACATCAAGCTACTGAGGGTCGAATTTCATGTGCTTCATATTTGCAAGGACTTCAACCAAAATACATTGCTATGATTTCTGAAATCCTGGATATATGTATATATATATATAATGTCTCATGGTGGCCTTCCGGGACCACTTTTACACAGAATTGAGCTTTGTAGTGGCCTCAAGGTCTCCCAATGTGCAAATGTATGCCGCGGTATGCCATATATATATATATATATATAAAAGCCCAGTAAGTCTAAGTATGTGCAAAGGATACCCCGAGGAAAAGGTCAAACTTTGCCAAAAGACACTGAACTAGGGCCGAACTTTGCCATGCGCAGGGGCTGAGCATGTATGGTTAATAGATCGATCTATGACATACTTCGCTCAGCGAAGCAAATATTTCCTGCTTGTGAGGTATACAATTGACATGTGTTGGACCTGATTAAGACTGTTTCTGTGCCAGCCGCATGTGTGATGCTCAAGCTGACTTGGAAATCCTTGCAGGGAAGGGGAATGCTGGCCTGACTGATGCCAATTTGATAAACGACCAAAAGAAATGATCCGGCCTTGAATTTGATGAGATTGGTCATGGTGGTGCGTGGTTCCAGCGTGGTTCCGGCGTGGTCATCCTAAACTTTGGCGTGGTCATCCCATTCTTTGCCGTGGTAAGCCTAAACTTTGCCGTGGTCCCTACCCTCTCAAGATTAGCAAGAATGTGGACATGCTTTGATCAAAAAATGAACATTAACACACGTGGAAAAAAAAGTGTGGATATCACTGATGATCAATCCATTGGCAAATTGTTTGGAAACAAATAATCGATTCCCAGGGATTGCTTTACAACATAGTTTCTGTTGTTCCACTCTGGATGCCTTTCAGTTCCCACTTCCCACAGATGTTGCATGGCAGGATGTTGTCGATGAAGTGGCGAGTACATACGCTTCTTCTACGTATTGCACGTACTTGTCTACATGTGTGATGATGGAACATGATAACATCAGGGTGATTGTTTTGAAAGGCTGAGCTCAAATTCATCAAAGCGTGCACATCACTAGCGATGGTATTATATAGTGTGAGTGCTGGTTGGACGTGGTCGGGCGTGGTCAGCGTGGCCGGTGCAAAGTTTAGGTTTTCAAACAAAGCACGTGCAAAGGATACCCCTGAGACCCTCTGGGAAAGGGTAGTTTACCATCCAAATGGGAGGCACCCATCGAAAACCGGTAAGGGATGGCATGGCCACGCTCTGACTCGCAAGTCCGTGCATCCAAATGGTGCCTTACAGTAATCAACGTCTACATAAACAAGGTACCGCCGCTAATAGTGACCCCGTGCGATTCGCACATTGCCAAAGTGGACAGTGCTCAAAACCTCCCATTTTTTCATTTTTCATTTGGGAGAGTTTGGGTCATATGTGCTTTCATCCCATTTTTCACAAGGGTCAGCACTTGTAAGGTGGAATTTAGATTGGGGAAGAGCAGAAAGTGCACTCCTTTTTGGCGCACACGCGTTTTGCAGGTATATTTTCTTTACACTTGCGGCCACGTTCGGGCCAACGCCTCAAGCAAATTTCCTCGGTTGTTCCACCGAAGCTAATAACTGCGGACATATTGATCGACGCGTTTTGCGTCACCCCACATCAACCACGAAGCATCAACTTCGTGACGCAAGTGCAAG